CTCGTTTTTCATGCATTTGTCTATTCCGGTAGCCGGTGGCGTCAATTGTGTCTGAAGCGTCTGAAATGCCAAAAGTCTTTTGTGAGCTTCGATAAGGGTTCTAGCACGATATCAACATAGGAGAGGTGTGGTTGAAGGTGATAGAAAGTAAATTTGATAGCTTCGAAAAGGCAGATTTGTGTCGAGAAGCCTATTTTGAGGATAGAATGTTACTTTTTGGGTTTAATTACTTTATAAGCTGAAAATGTATAAAATGTTAAGATCTTTACAAATTTCAGGTTGTTTACCTAAGGGGGAAAGTTCTAGGCAAGTGTGTAGAAGATCGTCGTAGGATGGCTCCATAGATTTCAGGTAAGGAATCCTATGCTTTCTTTAGCGGATCTTTCATTTATTATTCAAATATTAAATTGTTAGTGATGAAATTAGAATAACGGTGAATCGATTTCCACCGTCCATTTCCGTCTTGGTTAACTCTAAACCCCAAGCCGAGTTGTGACACTGAGGTTCTCTATTTTTAACAATCAGTCTCAAGCTGTCTAAATAATCTAAATCTAGACATTAAAAATCTCATTGTTAGCAGGAACACCTAACATTCAAATTGAACATTTCATCTTATTTAAGCTTGTAAATCTGATCAAATAATCAAACAACTGTAAACATAAAAGGCAAGAAATATAAAATGATAGCATAGTCAATCCCATACTAAAGTTCTAATTCTTTTAATATCGATCAGAAAATCCACATATAAATAAATAATGCTTAACAAATATTAAATTTGTTAATGATTAAGTTCTTGAAAAAAATCAATGCAGAAAGAAAATATGAGAAGCTTATTATGCATACTAGAAGAAAGGAAACAAGGAAATAACTGCTGAAAAAGATAAGACATCAATGTTTCCAATAACATGGAACTTATTTCCTTAATATGAAGAGTACAAAAGTGCATTCAAAAATGGTATATTGAAGCATTAACTTATTTGCATAGGCACCACAGTCAATGACCTACATGCAAACCAAAGTCAATCAAATGAATTATGACTACAAAGCTAGCTTCAGTAACTCAACGCAATAGTAGCAAGAGAAGTGGTTTGAACTAACAAATAAAGATAAAGCATTAACAAGGAAAGCACTGTGTCAATGACCATCAATCACATGAGAGATGTTAACTGCGTGAATCTTGGCAATGATGACTCTTGGTGGTTAGCCACCCATTTTTTTAGCCATAAAGATACATACATGCGCAGCATGCAAGCACGAGTGGTCAGCCACCCATTTTTTTAGCCATAAAGATACATACATGCATGCATGCATACAAACATAAAAGCAGAGGTAGAGAGAGACGCAGACATATGCACACATCTATAACAGTTCATAAGTTATAGGAACTAAACTGATATAAACCTCTTTCTTTGTTACCGCTTTCTTTGTTATGCCTATTGTCCCAATGTAAAAAGCCAAAGTATCCAAAAAAAAGGGGAAAGCAAAGGACCCAAAGAAAGGGGAAACCAAAGGACCCAAAGAAAGGGGAAACCAAAGAACCCAAAGAAAGTGGAAACCATCGAACAAAACATTCCTAATTAGAATCCTCTAAAATCAAAATTGCATGCTCTGTTGTTATTGTGTATTGGTGTTAAACCTAGATTTGTTCAATATGCCAACCAAGAATAGTTAAGCCGGTCCATCATGAGCCAAGGTTCAGTCTGACAAGCAGCCATGCAAGAATGAGAACGAGCATATAAGTATAAATAAATCTACATTAATTTAATTATAAGCACACTATAAACCAAAAAAAAAAGTGAGGTGATCTTACACATATAATGCCCAAAACATATTTACAAAAGTATAATCTATCTTTTATCAATATTTTGATTTTTTATTGGTCAAACAGTTGAATCAGCTACCAAATGATAAGGTTAATGTTACAAACAGTCCACCATGGCCACTGATTACCACGAAAAAATGTGTACCAGGCTACCAAATGATAAGGTTAATGTTACAAACAGTCCTCTATGTGTACCATTTCTCAATATCAGTTATCAACCTTATCCCAATAATTTTGGACCAATGTATTAATTCTCTTCATTCATTCAAATGTTGAGTCGAATTTACACACAGAAGCCTGTTATAATTGTTAACTCTATTTTGTACAAATCATTTTAAATAGATCTTTCCCAACAGCTTCTAGCAATAATATATTTGGTTAGCCACTTTCGCTTGCTAACACATTCACATTAGCATTATAAACTTTCGTGATTTTTTTTATGATTTTGACAGTTACCACAGTGAAGCAAGATTGAACACCTACATATCGAACGCCACACCAAAATAACTCATGTTGTTATTTCAGCTTGACTTAAATTAAAAAGCTTGGGGAAGGCTTGTAAAAGAAAACTAAAGTTCGTTTTTAAGATTATTACTATGCCACATCTCGGGATACACATACAATTTACCAAAATGCACATTAGAGCAACATTAAAAAAACATTTAATCAACAGAATCTAAAGATAATCCTGCCGAACCTCATACTAAAAAAATTTAGAATCAGATTCTAAATTAACAGAACAATAAATCTCAAGTTTGAAGGCAAAAAATCCTTACCGATAAGGAGCTCCTAGAGCACAGAAATACCTCTCTACAACTCTTTGGATTGCAGCTAGCCTCTTCGTCCTCTGGAATCGCGTCCAAAGCTCCTGACCTTGCTACCTTCTTTCTCGGACTAAGCTGAATCGTCTGCGTAAGGATCGAGGGAGAACCAGCAAAGCACCCAGCTACATAAACCTCAATTGAAGGCGAAGAAATTCCAAACTTCGGCTGCACAAAAGCCGACGACGCAATCGAAGCTGCAGAAAAGCAGTTCATGCTCCATCTGGCCTTAGGGTCATCCCGAGATTCTCGGTGTCCTTCGAAGCCAAGAGTCCCATTGATACCCGGCGCCTCCATATTCTCTAACGATCCGCAGAGGATGAGGTTCCCGTCCCCGTCGCAGACTTCAAATTCGACGGAGCCCGTGAGCCGGACGCCGTCGGTACTGAGGTAAGTGACCTCCCCCGAGCTGCAGTCAAGACGGTCTTGGCGGAGGGTGAGGAACGTGGGCTCGGAGGAGGGGATGCGGGAACCGTTGATTTCGAGAACGACTCCGATCTCACGTCTGAGATGGGAGAGGATGAGGTTCGGTGGGACAGCATCGGGTGTGCAGGGAAAGATACGAACATAGAAAAGGCGAATTTCAAACCACGATGAGGGAGGTGGAGCCGCGACGTTACCACCATTGCGGCGATTGAAAGGCCTAGGCGGCTTCCCCTTTTCCAGAGCTGCTGCGCGAGGATCCATAGTCGCCGACTAAAATAAACGGGATAGGATGTAGGGTTCCGGCGATGCCGATGGCATCAGCCAATTTTACTGTTTCCGTTCTCCAAGGCTTGCAAGGGTTCAGATCGTGGAAGAGGTGGCCGGGCATGATTTTTCTGACGGAATTGAGGGTTCCATCGTAAACTGCAGATTTTGTATCTCTAAAATTATAATATAT